GCTATTGTCGGTCTGCGGTATGCGTGGCGCTGCTCTAGCACCTGCCGCAAAGTAAATATATGGTCTATACAGCCACGTCCTGGGCGAAAACCGGCCTGCTCTTCCCTAATCCGAGATTCCCGTTCTGCAGTGAGGCGACGAACGATAATCGAGGCCAGTAATTTTGTCACAACTGGCGTTAGGTCTAATACCCCTGTGGTTCGCACAGTCTGTGCGACTGCGCTTCTTGTATATTGCCACTATAACCTGTTCGCTTCAATTAGCCGGCATATTCTCTTCGTTCCAGATACGTTCAAATAGGGAAGTCAGTGCCCTGCAGAGGACCTCACCTCCATTCTTAAGTAGTGCAGGTGGTAGGGAATCCGAGCCGGCGGCACGAAAACGATTGAGGGCTGTGATCGCGTTTCGGACCTCGGCCTCCGACGGAGACTCTAAACTAACCGTCCATGGCACGTCCTGTATCACTTGAGTAGGAAGAGGTCCGGGAGCAGGGGGCCAGCTGAACTGATCTTGAAAGTGTTCCGCCCAACGAGCCATACGACGCTCCTTATTGTGTATCAGCGCACCCGTGCTGTCTCTGATTGTCTCACTGACGCCTGGTTTTCTGGGACCAGTGGTGCGGATAAGCTGGAAGAGCTTGCGGTAATTGCCTACTGCTCCTGCCTCCTCCATTTCTTGAGCCCGACTGGTCCACCAGGCTTCCTTGTCAGCACGTAGGCTCCGCTTTAGTTCACGCTTATTAGCCCGTCTGGTCACATTGTGTTCAGAACCAGCCGGGAGGTGTCTTCTAGCTTCCAACAGGTTCACGGACCTCTCGGATATTCAGTGACTGGTGTGGTGATGACTGATAGTACCACAAGCAGATGCTCCTGCGTCGTGCATGGCGGCAGAACGAAGATTGTAACCGCACCGATGATGATATTCACCCTGACGTGTCAAATACAGACGACCAGCACTGGAAACTGTTTGGAGATTCTGACTCGGATTCTAGTTTCGAAGGATTCGAATAATTTTAATACCATTATGCAGCTTTTGGATATGTGAACCTATAAAATCTACCAGTACGTGCTGTTCTGTCAGGACTTTCCAATGCTATTGTGTGTGATGGTGTTCTCTTCTGTATAATCAGTATGTTTCTGTTACTGCCAATCGTCGCGAAAGTCAAATGTTCACTATAACGAGACTTTTCTACATCAACATAACGTGTCTACCCATAGGCACTTCAAATCCCCGCCTGGGATACCGTCTGTTACTAGCAAGTGGTACTAAGCCAAGTTAGGGGCATAGGTGTGCAGCGAATTTCTGGTTGGATTTTGCATTGATTTTTTCAAATTGCGCATAAGCATTGTATAAGCCGACCTTCCCCCCACTACAGACATGAAAAGTTGTCCAAAATTCCTCGGCTTGTACATGGTAAAATACGGTACTTTGGTTTGGAATACCATGGCTGGTACACACGAAGAGTGTAAAAGTTTCCCGACATTCCAGCTGGCTGTACTATGCCGTCAACTTGAGCTGGTAGCCCCTCAAATTCATGTTGTGACTAAGTTTTAGTAGATGGCGACAGACGTGGTTGGGGGTCCTCAAAATTTGGTAGCTCATTATTAGGTCGTCACTTAGGCGCTGATACCGGCCGCCGTACCATCTTAGAGTCCTCAGGCTAGGTTGATAAAGAAGACGGAACAGCCCTTTTGACTTGCTTTGTGGTTTCTGCTGTGGAGTCTCTAATGCTGCGAGATCTTTCTTTTGCCAGGGCTGCCAGTCCTAGACTACATATTCCACAGGACTCGGTAGGTGTGTGTTAAGCAACTGCGAGCAGACAGAGTGATAGAACCGCCCGAATGTCATCCGCAGCATGCCAACATGTTGGGCTCCATTATTTGTCGCCTTCTCTGATTTATCAGAGCAGCCCAGAGCAGCCTGGATTGGTAACCCAAGTTCGCGCTCCTGGGTGCCTGTTTGCAGGACGCGGTTTCCAAATTTGCGTGTGATGTTCGGCTGATGTCGAATATGGACCACCCTACACCTGGCCGTATTAAACTAGAGCAGATTGTGTAGTGACCACGCATGTGCTCGGTCAAGGTCTCAATGAAGTGCATCGTGATCTCATCGGGCGGCGATCGCCGCCCAAATCTTAACATCATCCGCAAAAAGCAAGAAGTCCGAGGAAATCAGACACATAAGCTCGTTGACGAATACAACGAACAGACTCGGTCTCAGCTCTGATCCTTGTGGAAGTGCAAATTAAACACGAATCGGATCAGATAGCGTAATTTGAACTCTAGCCTGCAGTTGCGATACTATAGGACATTCCGCATCCATCCAAGAACAGCACCCCCAACTTCATAGCTTTCGAGCCCGGGGAGAATAATGCGGTAGTCCAGTGTTATAATGCTGCCCTCGCCTCTGTTCTCTATACTGCCAACCCAGCCGGGGACGAAAACTGAACACCGAAGGCTGCTAGACTGAAGCATATCAGGAACGGCACACGGTTAATTTTATAAGCCTCCTGCTCTTACTTCGCCGGTCTGTCACTGAGGTGAATCATATCTCATGTCTGGGCAGATTGGACCCTAGTAGCTGCTTTACCTGTCTGGCTTTAGGTATGAGCACGTCCGCATCATAGCAACTCGTGCGATGATGGCGACCTGATTTCATCAGCTTCCGGCGTGACTCAGCCGTGCCTCCGTCGGTCGGGTAGCAATCTGTGGTATCCATACAGGCGTCTCGTAACTGTATCAAGTGCTCGGGTTGAGATCTCCGATTATACAGTCAGTCGAACGTATTAGGGAAATCGAGGTAAATGACCTCAGTCCCTCTACCAGAGTCGCTGCCTCCGTTCAATTACTGCGTGCATTCAATAGGTTGGTTGTGCATGAACGGTGCTGGTGGAAAGTGTGCTGCTCCGGTGCTATGATGTTGGGGCTTTCTAGTTGGCCGACTGAACTCTCAGCTATGATTGTCTCCACCAACTTTAAGCGTACGGGGTAGAGAACAACTGGGTAATTGTTTGCAAGCGCCGATCGGAGGCCACAGTCTAAGCTTGGTGTGATAACACTATATTTCCACATGGTAAGCACAGTTTGCTCATCCAAGCTTGTGTGGAAGAAATGCGTTAATAGCCCGGTCAGCGTTGTTGCTGTTGCTTTCAGCGCTCTCTAGTGAATGTTCTCGATTCCGGGTGAACATCAGATGCATAGTGATAGTAGTTTCTTCAACACAGCTGTGGGAGCAGAGCGATGTTATTGTTGTGATTGGGGGTGTTGATGCAGTTATCTAACAGTAGCGGTAGTCTCGTTGGAAAGTCTTGGCATATTACATACATAGCGCGCTGGCTTCTTTTCCAGCGCTCTGGGCACACCGACTCGCGTGTTAAATGAGGTAAACCGTGCCTCAATTTCCGCATGGTGGTAACATGTTTACATAGGTTTTTGCTTTTGATAAATTTGCAAGCCAAAGTTTGTTGGTGAGCCAGTTTGTCCTCACAGACAAGCATCGTACAATAGTTATGCTGTCACGTAGTAAGTCCAGGTTTCGGGATCTGGAAGGGCACTGTAAGCGTGCCAAGCTGCGTTACTTAGTGAGATACATTTGCAGCTTCTACTTCTGATGAACGATGGTCAATTGGTGGAACGAACCCACTTAATTTCTAAAGCAGTTGCGATAAGAATGTTGAAGCGTCCAGGCGCCACTTTTCAACCATTTCCAATCTGTCATTGCAACCAGACTGGTCGGGATGTTGTAGCGTGGGACATAACCTGTTGATTCTGTGTATTCCTCTGGATATTCAGCGTAACACAGCTAGTTATAAGATATGGTGAACTGATCAAGTAGCTCTGGTGGCTTCTCTATAAATGGCCTCCGGACCACGAGTATCTCATTCGCAAGCACGAAGTCTAGTACCGATCGGTTGTTATCAACTGTGCCAATCCGTGCTCCGAAGCTCTTTTCTCGCACGAGTGAAGTTGTTTCTTTTGATATAAGCTTTCTGAAGTTGTACTCTAACAAGGTAGCTGATTACTTAATGTTGTAAGAAGATTTCATTATTTCAAGCCGGCTGGCAAATATCAGTATAGTGTTAACCTTCTCGACGAGATGTGCAAGGAGAGCGAGCTGCGAACCAACAGTTCGGTGTGTTAATCGTCTTGTGGACTCACGAAATGCACTTTGTATTATTTGCCATACAGTGAAGTTGACTTTGCTTTTGAACTTGGAGAGGACCTTGAGCACACGTTATACGTGGGACGGAATTAATAGAAGCGATGGCAGTTATCGGAATCCAGTGTTGTTTAGAGAATAAGCAAATTTTCAAACAACACGGGCTAAGTTGGGAGTTAGGGTTGTGTCTTGGTAGCGTGCTTTCCTGACAGCAGATGAAAAATGAGCCGAAGCTTTTCCTGCTTCTTGTGGGATGTGTAGTTTGGTATAACGGTAAGCATTATTAGACTATTCTTTGGGGTTCTCTAGCTACTGGCTGCCATATTCGTGGCTGTTCAGATAATAAAAAACAGAGAAACCATACAAGTGTGTATGGTGCACAGAAGAACTCATCAACTTCTGTGTTTACAAAAATTGTACAATTGGTGGTCCTGGAGCGCTTGTACTCATCGTGGTATATCTAACCTGAACGCTCCCGGTGGATTTCTACTGAGTAGTAAACACATAGAGCACGACCGAATGACTGACAGTGGGTGAACGTAAATGTAGTCAGTATCTCAGGAAATATAAGGTATCTTCACCAACATGGGACGAAAGGTAAAATGATACGGTAATCCTAAGAGGGAACCTTTATCATACATTAAATTGAATAAAATTTTCATGGAACCTTCTAGCGGCGTTAATGTGAATTCACAAACAAACAAAAATGACAGGTGAAACTATCGTCTGACAGGGACTGTTACAGGTTTTATGGTTCTCAAATATTCGTTTCATTCTACTAACCATGTGTGACATAATAACTGCTATGCTTTTACCAATGTTCTGTTCTCTTTTCAAAACAGAACGTCTGAAAGACGTCGCTGGTGCAGAACAGTATAAACAGCTTGTTCGCAGAGAAAAGCGTCGATGGGACGCGGCAGATCAGAATAAAGATGGCGCCCTGTCAAAGAACGAATTTATGGATTTTCTTCATCCTGAAGATAGAGTGCACATGAAAGATGCTATCATAGAGGTGCGTTTGTAGCATAGCGTTTAATATGTTGTGATTCTAAAAAACAAATTTCTCTCGGTTATCGGGATCTTTTCGCGTCGTCAGTTGAACAGCTATCATGTCGGCTGCTAGTGCGTAAGGGAATATTGGTTTTGTACATGGGTCACCCCAGTTTTGCCAAGGTGTATCCCTTGATTCGCATCGGTTCACTACCGTCTTCCTTAGTTCGAATTGCCTGCAGTAATGGCAACAGTGCACCCACCTGTACGCCATGGGGGTGCTTTATGCGCAAAAACGTGTAGGTTATTGGAATATAGAATATCACACACGTGACTGGGTAGGCCGGAAACCAAATTATGCGCTGCAAAACACGCACTGACCATGGGTTAAGGGGTTGACATCCTCAAGTACTTGACCGCTTTGACTGCTTTATGTACTTCATACAAACCATCCCACGTGAGTTGTCAGACCTGGGCATTTGTATCCGTATGATACCACTTCTATTTTTTCAAGTGCCGCAAGAGAAACTGGCCGTTGCCAGTAATTTCGTTGACACGAGTTGTTTGATCATCACGTGTGGACTGCCCAACTCGTCACAGACATTTCACCCATTCGCTAACCGCGAAATCATATAATAATCATAGAAATAAAAATAAATATAATGTATATTCTCGGGTTACGAGACATGCCCTCTCCGGCATGATCAACATTATACACATGTTTCGTATAATATTTACAGAATATTTTTTGTCGTACAGAAATAAATCTTGTGTTTTCAACCTAATGGTTGTCCGGTTCAAATCTTCGAATGAGGACAGAATATCCACGGCGTCCTGTTGGAGAGCTCCGTCTACGGACGGAACCAATTTGTGTTTTCCTTGGGTGAAGGATGAAAAGCAGTTGTGTGGGGATAAGCGGAACATTAGAGCTGAACTCACACCTAAAGTACATAGCATCCAATTCGGGCTAAAGTATTTTTATACATTGTGGCGTTGTAAAAAGGGGTGGTGAGAGATGGGGGCATTTAGTTATTTATTTTTTTCTTTTTTTCAGTTCAGCAGCTGTACATATAATAAGCCGAGACAGAGAGGTGGATGTTTATTTGTTTTGTGTGAGGCGAACGTGGTTGGCACCTGTCAACTGGCTTCGGCGTTTTGCTTGACTGGGCGATAGGCGAACGACTGTAGAAAAAATGGAGAACTGGATTTGGGAAATAAGGATGAAGATTTTGCAAGCAGAGTCAGTTAGCTTTGCCTCGCCGCCTCACATGTTTGCAACGTGGGCAACATTGGAAGCATAGAGAAGTAAGAGAAGAACAAACGGTAAAAGTGAACGAAGCTGGCTAGATGCTGTCAGCGTTTCCTTCGCATCTCAGACGTTTTGGTACGATTGCATGGTGGGCGTGGCTGAGTAAGCTTACTATAAATATTGGGGACAATATGGTTAGCTCAAAAAGAGTTTGCAATTTATCAGTAACCCACAATTATTGGTGTGTCTGTGAAGTATGCATTCCAGACTAAATGGAGTCGGATAGAGAAAAGTGGTTTCTGCCAAGTGTTGATCTTTCTTTCAATGCAGCACTTGTCAGAAGGCCTGGTCAAGTAACGAACCTGTAGGCAAAACATTATGCTTACTTGTAGTCAGCACACCAACGTATCGACTCCATCCTTAAATAGCATATTTTCGTTGCTATTAAGTTTCAACCTTGCGTTTATGTATTGCATTGTCAGGTAGTTTGAAACACTGCTCTTGGAAACACCGCTTGCCATTGGCATCTTCTTAGATCAGCAGGGAGACAGTTTTATATCTCAGTGTATCTCTGAAAGTAAAAGTTTCTCCGTGCATTTCTTTCCGCCTGGAAAACCAGGAATTTGGTTTTCGTGTCCTTAATTACGTAGCTAGAGAGTACTGTAGTATATGGTTGGCGGCCTCCGGTTTCGGATTTGCCTGTCACTGTGCCCAGCCACAGGAGGCCTGCGCCTACACAAGGATCATGGATGGCTTGTGCTGCACCATCCACAGTCCCATCCACACACACCATATCCAGTGTAAACCCGAAGGAATAAGACCGGGAGGCATGTGGATGGGAGCCACGTTTCATCAACGCAACCGGCCCACACTCCTTCACAGACAAACACAAACACGCTGTATTTGGAACTCAAGAGCATACAAGGCGGTGGTTGGACCGTAGTCCTTTACACACTGATTGCACGGAACCACCGTTTGATCCTAACACGGCCACAAGGACCGTGCATCCAGTCCCCTACAGCAACGAGCAACAGTCTCCTGGAGCCAGCATGGACGAGGTAATCGATAAGCGACAGGTAGGCACCTTGTCAACATGCACATCAAGCGCAGCCACACCGGGGATATATATATATATATATATATATATATATATATATATATATATATATATATATAAAGCCCCGGGCGGAGTCCATCAAACTTCCGGGGTACAACGACCACCTCGCATGCAATTGCCCACCAATGCAATCGTACGCCTGCGCGCAAATCACTCAACATCGGGTGCTGGAATGTGCGCACACTACTGGACTGGAGCTCGAGTGAGTGCTCTGAGCGACACACTGCCCTGGTCGCGATGAAGCTGGCGCGCTACAACATCGAGATTGTGGCGTTCAGTGAAACCCTACTCGCTGAGCAATGTAAGTTGCATGAAGCAGGTGCTGGATACACATTCTACTTTGTGGGCAACGCCGCCTCAGCACTATGTGAACATGGGGTCAGATTTGTAATATCCGATCGCTTCCATGCCTTGCTCGTGAGTGAACCAACTGGCATCAGCGCGCGACTGATGACTATTCGCCTGCGACTCGGAAGAGGTAAGTTGGCCACCTTGATAAGCACGTACGGTCCGACCATGTGTTATCCTGATGACACGCGTGATCAATTCTACACTCAGCTATCCTCCGTGATACGGTCTGTGCCGAGGAGCGACCGATTATTTCTGCTGGGTGAGTTCAACTCGCGCATTGCGCGTGATGCATCGGTGTGGACAGATGTCACCGCTCCGCATAGCTTTAGTTCAGCGAATGCGAACGGTGACAGGCTGCTCACTGTGTGCCACTCACGGCCAGACGATCAAGAACACTCGGTTTGCACTGAGTGTTGTGATATAGCAACTTGGACGCACCCACGGAGTGGTCACGCTCAACTGCTCGAGGATGTCATTGCACGTCAGCGTGATATGCGTGAAGTGCGCATGACACGTGTACTGCTTGGAGCTGAGTGTGGCACTGATCACGAATTCGTGCGGACGAAACAGTACATATATTTTCTTAAATCTATGTATTGCACTGCCGTCGTGAATCGACGTACATATAACATTTTCTCCCTCGGTACTGTGGCGGAACGTGTTGAGCTGGAGAAGGCGATGGCTGCAAGAGTGTGTGATGTGGTATGCATAACCACCGTGGGCGACCTGTGGCACCACATTCGCGACCAGGTGACAGCTGCTGCCGATGAGACCATCGGGTGCGCAAACTGTAAGCGACATGATTGGTTTGATGAGAACACTGCGACGATTGGCGCATTGGGGTCAGGGAACAATGCAGTATTTGCTGCACATGCGGCATACCTCAGTGACTTGGGGAAGAATAAGCAGTTAGGCAAAATTTGAAGGCGACTGACCCGAGAGCTCCGTCGCATTAAAAATGCATGGTAGACGGAGCATTCGAGGCAGTTGGAATGATACGCCGCACGCCGCCAACACAAGGAATTCTTTGACTCCTTGAAGGTGGTGTATGAATCGAGATTGGAGCCGCTGAGGACGCTGATTGATGGTAGTTCAGGCGCTACCTGCACACAGACTGCAGAAATAATGAGGGTCTGGCTGAAACACATTTGGCTCTCTTGAACAACCGTTCAGAGATCGGCTGGCCTACATCGAAGGGCCTCAAGCAGCACGATGTGAAGACGAGTCTGGCGGACACACCGACACTGGATGAGACACAGAAAGCACTTGCTCAGCTGCGAAACGGCAAGTGTGCTGGGGCCGACGGGATCTCGTCTGGAGTATTGAAACACGGCGGACCCGCGTTGGTGGCTACGCCACACCAATTGGTGCAACGTGTATATATTGAGGAGGAGTTGCCTCCTGAGCTGAAGGATGCCCTTGTGCTACCACTGTACAGCGACAAAGGGAGCAAGCAATGTTACAGGAATTATCGTGGCATCAACTTGCTGAGTTGTGTGGGCAGGATGATTGCCCGAATCCTGCTCAACCGTCTCGTCATTCATGTTGTGGAACCTAACGTGGCGGAAGAGTATTGTGGATTTTGTTCGGATCGCAGCACTATAGATTTGGTGTTCGCGGCTCGTCATTTGCAAGAGAAGTACAGAGAACGACACCAGCCATTGTACTCGCTTTTTGTTGATTTCACCAAGCCATTTATACGGTGAATCACGAAGCATTGTGACTGGTGTTGGGTAACTTTGGCTGCCCCGCTTATGTTTGTAAGTTTACTTGAATGTCTGCACAGTGGTATGCGAGCGAGAGTGCAGCTGAGTGGAGAGACCTCGGATGACCTTGCAGTTGTCTCTGGTATGAAGGATGGCTGTGTCTTAGCTTCTGCTCTGTTTGATATATCTCTTCATGCAATGATGTCTTATGCTTTTGAATTGGTTTGTGCTTACGGTGTTCGTGTGGAGCACGGTATTGATGGTGGGTTGCTGAACACCCGTCGTTTCGGTGCGAAAAATATAGTCTGTGAGACAACTATCCGTATGTGGCTGTCTGCTGATGACTGAGCGTTGTTTGCACACAGCGCGAATGCTTTGCAGCACATGACTAGTGCTCTGGCCTGGATAGCGGCCTAATTCGGGCTCACCATCAACACAAGCAAAACCGTCTGTCACTTTCATCCTTCACCGGAGGTGCAATCTTCACCATTGACGCGAACCGGCATTGGTGCGAAGTATTTGAAACCACCTCCCGCTTCTACTACCTTGGAAGTGTAATGTCGACTGACCAACAGCTACGAAGTAGCTTCCTATCCGAG